TACTCTCAGCCCCTTACCCAAGTCCCTTCCTCAACCCAGAGACACTTGAAGGTGAATAAAGCTCAGGCCTGGAATTAGACAGATATTATCAACTGCGAAGCCTCAAGGAAGTCAAATGCCTACAGAAAGGGAGAATATCTATCAACGGTTATTTTATTATTTACTTATTTTAAAATATTTGTTAGCCGGGCAGTGGTGGTGTACCCCTTTAATCCCAGCACTCGGGAGGCAGAGGCAGGCGGATCTCTGTGAGTTGGAGTCCAGCCTGGTCTATAGACTGAGTTCCAGGATAGCCAGGGCTACACTGAAAAATCTTGTCATGAAAAACCAAAAGAAAAAACAGAAGCCAGATGTGTCAGAAGCTTGTGGAACTGGAGTTGGAAGTGTTGGTGAGTTGCCCTCCACAGCTGGCTCCTCTGGCCGAGTATAAACACTCTTAAGTACCATAAGTACTCAGCCATCTCTCCACCCCAACAAAGCTTCTGTGGTTGCTGTTTTTGAAGCAGAGGTCTCCCTGACTTGCCTGAAATTATGTAGACCAGGCTGGCCTCAAAACCTCAGAGATTCACCTGCCTCTGCCTCCCAAGTGTTGGGATTAAAGTCATTTACCCCCCCCCCAACCAGCTCAAAGGGCTTTTAAACATTTTTTTAACATCTCCTTAGTGCGCATCTCTCTCTCTCTCTCTCTCTCTCTCTCTCTCTCTCTCTCTCTCTCTCTCTCTCTCTCTCTCTCTCTCCGTGCGTGATAGAGAGAGAGGATGTGTGTGTGTGTGTGTGTGTGTGTGTGTGTGTGTTGGGAAGGTACACACCTGTGCTAAAGCACACGTATGAAGGTCAGAAGACAATTTGTGGGAATAGGGGTTCTCTACGCTGTAGTTTCTGGGGACTGAACTCAGGTTGTCAACCTTGGCAGCAAGTGTCCTTGTGAGTCACCTCTAGAGTTACACGTCAAGATGCATGCCCAGTTTGGGACCTGACAGTAAACATCCATTAGAAATGGCCTTTGATGACTCGGGATGTAGTGCAGGTGGTCAGATAACCTGCCCACTAAGCAACAAGAACTGGGCTATCCCAGCACATGGGAGGGGGAGACAGGAGAATCAGGGTTCAAAGTTCATCCTCAGCTACCCAGTAGGTTTGAGGGCAGCCTTGGCTTACATGAGGCTCTGCTGTGAGTGGTGACATATGCTTGTAATCCCATGAAGACCCTGTCTGTGTTCCAGGCACAGCTATTGTCATCTTCACTAGAAACAGATTGTCTCAGGCGTGGTGCCCACCAACACACTCAGCAGGACCAAGTAAGCCTGTGCCTTCTTCACAGGCACAGCTAAGATTCTCATCACCACTGCCATCTGACCTTGGAATGGACTCAACATCCTAGAGCTAGCACAGACCATTTCTTGCCCTCTTAGTTCAGAGTTCAGTGAAAACCTGTGGGGCCAGCCTGATTTACCTAACAAGTTCCAGGCCAACCAGGACTACATAGTGAGACCTT